GTCTTCTAATCTTCATACTGGCTTATAAGTGATTAACACACCTCCTTTACAACGTTAGATTATTCTGAAAGACTGAGGGTACATTTCAGTCTGCTGTCTCTGCTCTGTGCCCTGGGGGAGGGTAGCCCATTGAGCACTGTTTCTGCATTTGTAACAGCACAGTGGAATCTGAAAGTGCAAGTTCTACTGGCCATCAGAGCCAGTTGATCAAGGGGTGTCTCCTGGTCAGCAGCTGCCAGACTAGTGCACAAGTTCCCACCTGGGAGATTCCGGTGACCTGAAGCAAGGCAGAGGGAGAGCACAAAGATGGCGCCCACTGGCATCTGTCCCCAGAGAGCACCTCAGTAGGATCGCAGAAGTGCACCAATCAAGAAGTCTGCCCTTCAGGCCAAAGCTTCAAGACAAACAAATATGCCTCTCTCACAGAAAAACTGGGGATGTGTTTCAGTCTGCTATCTCTGTGCTGTGCCCTGTGTCCAGAGTGGTAGCCAGACAAGAAGCATCTCTCCATATCTTAGAGTCCTACACAGCCACAGCACAAGCCTTGCTGGCCACCAGAACCAGGCAATCAGGGGCATCCCCTGGGTGGCATCCACATAAACCAGGACACCAGATATAAAAACTGGGCACCAGATGCGTATACAAGCTTCCCTCCAGGAGAACCCAGCATTCTGGAGCATGGCAGAGGAGGAGCATGAAGAGAGCACCTGCCCTCCCAGATCTCTTGAGAGGATTACAGTCAGCCCATAGATGTGTGTTTAATTAGAATTCTGCCCCTCAGGCTGCAGCTATGAAGACAAACTAATAGGCCTCTTTCACAGAAAGACCAAGTGCCTCAGTCTGTTGTCTCTCTGCTGTGTCTGGGTGTGGCAGCCAATTAAGAACTTTCTCCACTCGTTACAGTACTATGGGACCTGCGAGCATAAGCCCCTCTGGCCACCAGATCCAGGCTATCTAGAGGTGTCCTGACAAACCTGGGGTGCCAGATGAGTGTACAAGCTCCTTTCTGGGAGATACTGGTGACCTGGAGCAAGGCAGAGGAAGAACACAAAGAAGGCACCCACCGGCCTCCGTCTTTAGAGTGTTTCAGTAGGCCCCTAGATGTGTGTTAAATTAGATGCCAACTCCTCAGGCTGATGCTTTAAGACAAGCAAATAAGCCTCTTTCACAGAAAGTCTGGGCACTTTTCATTCAGCTGCCTCTGTGCTGGGCCCTGGGTTGGGTGAGTCCGCATGTGTGAGCCCTTTAACAACTGTTTCTCGGCTCTCTATAGCATTGTGGGTCTCGTGGACACAAGCCCCACTGGCTTTCAAAGCTAGATGTTTTGGGAGCTCATCTCTCAGGTGCAGGTTGGGGTTCAAACTTTTTGCTCCTCAGGGAGAAGCTCAGGGTTGTGACTTCCCTCCCAATTGTGGGTCACTGCGCTGGGGGTGGGGTTTATGGTGAGATTGTGTCTCAGCCTCTCCTACCCATTTTGATGTGAGTTTTTTCTCGTTTGCCCAATGTGTAGGAGTTGCTCAGCTAGTTTTTGTTTTTTTTTCCAGAGGAAATTGTTCCGTATGTAGCTGTAGACTTGGTGTGTGCATCGGATGAGATAAGTTCAGGATCCTCCTAGGTCACCATCTTGAACTCAAACCCACTCCTTCCTTTTTGATACAATCTTTTCCCTTGGCTTCTATGACACCACACACTCATTCTCTTCCTCGTCATTCCATTTAGCCTTCCTTTCTGTCCAATCCCACGTCTCCATTGCAGCCATCCTCCTTTACCTGGCTCATAATTGCTACAGTTTCTTGGCCCTGTTTCACTCTCAATTTCTACATGCCCCTTAGGCAATCTCATCTATGGCATGGGTTAAGTTTCTACCCACATGATTACTCCCAAATATATCATCTCGGCCCTGACTTCTTTGAGCTCCAGACACACATATTCAACTGCTTCCTTGACATCTCGATGGAATGTACCAAAGGTACTCCAAATACATCTTGTCCAAAATTGAACTCATGATCCCTCCCCCGGGCCCCACAAATCCCGACCCTTTTTCAAGTCTTCCTATCTTAGTGAATGGCACCACTATTCATTAGACTATACCAACCAGAAAGCTAGGAATCATCTTTGGCATCTCCCTCTGTCTCACCAATCCAACACCATAACTGATAATTCTACCTTCAGAATATCTAAAGCCTCTTAACTGGTCTCCCTGTTTCAATTCTTGTTCCTCTACAATCTATTCTTCAATCTTCAGCCAGTGTTGCCTTTTCAAAACAGAAATCTGATCATGTTAACTCCTTGTTTAAAATCTTTCCATGGCTCTTATCTTTATCATATAATGCCAACATCCTTGACATGGCCAACAACCCCTTGCTTTGCCTGGCCCTTGTATTCCTATCCAGCCTTATATTTCTGCCCTCTCTCTACTGAGGAAAGTGCAAAAGGGTCAGAGTATTCCTTCTACTTTCACTTTGCTGGAAAGGAAGCTTAGCTATAAGGCCCAGGCACGCCCTCTGTTTTAATCTCTCAGATAAAAACATTCTTGTCCAATGAAGGCCAGAAGTTCTGGAGCTCAGGCCCTTTTGGGAAATCGAACAGACCCATCTTCAGGCAGAGGCTGAAGGCAATTGCAGGTATTACCAAAATGTTTTGGATGTGTATTTAATATGGAACATAGGAGGAAATATATCCTTATTAAAAATAATCAAACTATGGTCTAGTCCAGAGAGGAGAAGAAACACTAATTTCAGCAGAACCTAAAACACTTGAGAAACAACAACATTTAAAGGGTAGACAGAGGAATAAAAAGCCATGAAAGACATTGAAAAAGAGAAGCTAGAAAAGTAGAAAGAAAGCCAGGAGAGTAGTTTTCCTTAAAAGTCAAGGGAAAAGAAAGGAAATAAGTGGTCAAATAATATAATGTTGCAGAATAGTCCAGTAAAAGAAAGATTATTTTATTTATAAATTAATTCTTTTTATAAGGAATTAGCCATGCAGAGGTGTTTGGTGACCTTTATAGGAAAGAGTCTTATCAGTAGAACGAAAGAGGCAGAATCCAGGCTGAGTGAACTAGAAGTAAGGAAGTGGAGGTAGGAAGCCAAGGCGACTCTTTCAAGCCTGATCATATAGTGGTAACTGTGAGAAGGGAATACAGGACTAAAGATGTTTCTGAGTTGTTTTGTTTTGATTAAGATGGGCAAGCCTTAAGCCTGTAGCATGTTTATGCACTGACAGAAAAGAGCCAGTAGAAAGGAAGATGAGAGAGAAGATAATGGACAGACCCCAAGTTCCTGAGGACATGGTAGAAGAGGACTCCAGAACCGAGGTGGTGGGATTCACCTTAAGGGACAGAAGACACAGTTACTCCCTGAGACAAGTACTGCAGATGGGGCTGGGGAGCTGGAAGTGAGAGGTTTCCATTTGATTACCTCTATTTTTAATTTTTATTTTTTGTAAAGTAGGAGGCATAATTAAGTAAGAGAGACTTACAGTTAAATTGTGACAGTTTAAACAGATGTTATGAGTAATGGGAGGGAAAGCTAAAAGGAGACATAAAATGACACTAAGCAGCACTGAGCACCCCAATGATGCTGAAGCCCATCAATTAGGAAAAAGAACCAATGGATGTGATTGCATAAATTTTCTGCAGAAAGGCTTACCAACCCAAGGGTTAAAGCAGAGACAACTGACAATTACATTGATGACAGTTGAAGTTTTGCCAATCCAGGTGCAGAGGAAAGAAATGGGGAAATGGAGTTGAAACTGATAATGTTAGTGCTGCTCAAATAGCTATGGTAGATATGTAGTCACAGGTTAGCATAAGTTAGCATAAGGGAAACCATCTTGTAGAAGAGAACAATATTGGAGCTATAAATAACCTGATCCACAAGGCGCCCCTTTGTTGAGTGTGCAATGCTTTAGTTTGCAAGTAGCCTGGATGAGTCCGCACCTGCTTGTGAGCAATATGCACGCTCTGCTGCTTTCCCAGCCTTAGCTCACACATAGACCTCCCTATTGTGACAAGACAGTAACTTTTCATTCTTTAAGTTTTCCCAGGAATGTAATGACCTTCAGAAAGGAGCCCCTATGCTGGTATCCCTCGCAGGTGACAAGAAAAAGGGATGATCCAGCGTCTCAAGGACTACACCACCAGATGGTCACATTCCGACCCCCCCCTTTCAGCCCATTTGCCCTATTTAACTGCTTCAAAAGTTTGTAGTTTTAAGATGGTTCTTTATGGACACTAGGCCGCCATCTTCCCCCTTGCTAGCAAGCTGAGGTCAAAAAAGACCCTTTCTCTCCTACCACCTGGCCTCTGGACTGTTGGCTTGTCTTTGCAGTGAATAGAGGACCCCTATTTGGTGATGACAATAACAGAGTGGCTGATCCAGGAAGAAGTGAAGACAAGAATGGAGACCAAAGAGTAACCTTTATAAAAGTGAGGATACAAAAGAGCTGGACAAAAAAGGAAGTTGTGGTTAAAAATTGTTTTAAATATTGGAAATGGTAGAATTTGGGACAGGGAGAAGGAAGGAAGACTTAAAAAATGGAAGTATGTGGAGGAGTAATCAGGACCCTGGTAGACAAGAGCAACAGAGGAGGCCACAACACAGCCAGGAGGCACTGGGGACTCAGAATGTCGACCTGATTTTAGAGTCTTTACTTCACAAAAAATGTGATACCTGTGAAAGAGTGATGTGAAATGTTAAGTTGCTGTAGAAATGTCAGATTTTCTGGGTGGTGACAGTCACATCACTGTTGTTTATTTTTATCATTGTGATCAGTATTTAGATTACGTTCCCTTTAAAAGATCAGCTTTGTATAAGAAGATATTGCTAATTGCTATGACTAATGAAATTAGTAAAGTACCAAACCTTGTATGTTGAAAGTAGACTCCAGTAATTCAATATATTTCACTCGTTTTCTTGATTTAATGCTATGAAAACCTTCCACCTCCATAAAAGAAAACATAAATCAACATGCCTGGATAGTAATCTTCATAAATATCCTCCGTTTTTTCTGACTTCAAGGGTACAGACAATGTTCTAAATGTTTTATATTTCAGTGTTTCCTTTTCTGCTGTTTTAGCTGGCTGATTCTCTGATGGTGTGAGATCTTTGCATTTTTGCTTTTCATATTTTAAAAGTCTGCTATGAAAAAGAAAATAAGATGCTATGGTTAACATTCTCTATAACTTAAAGTTTAAGTCTTTATTTCGTACTTTATAATACAATATAATATCTATCCTTTCAAGCAATTTTTGATAAGCACTTTGAAAAGCATATCCAAAACATAGTCTAGTTAAATGCTAAATAGGTCTAACTGATGTTACCATTGAAATTTTAAAGCTAGAAGAGACTTAAGAATCTTCATCTAATTTTAAAAGATGAAGAAACGTTACCCAATTAAGTTAGTGGCAGAGTGAGGTTGGAATACGGTTTTCTGAAATTTTATACTTGTATATTACCCTCCCTTATAAAACCACCACCAACAACAACTCACATCAGGATTAAAACCAAAATCTTTTCACAACACATTAGCCAACTGTCTGCTTCGTAAATGTTGGAAAAACCTTTTCATAAAAACAGAATCCAAAATCAGTGCCTACTATCGACTTATGCCATAGACCATGTTTTTACAAGCAGAGGAAATTCAGGGTTCTGTAAATCCTTACATATACTTCTCAGTGGAAAAATATCCATTGGTACGTAAAATAAAAATACTTAATCACATGAATAAGGTAACACTTCTCTGCAAAGACAAATAAAGCACAACTTCTTTGAACTTGTTTATGGACAGCTTTATTAGGTATTCCTAATACCTAATATTAGCACTTCGAGTTAATTTGTGAGCATTTTGTGAGTCTCATTTGGTTTATCAACACCTTGAACAGTTTCCTCTTCACTGAAATGTCTATCCACATCCTTTGTTTTGTTTTGTTTTTTTGTACTGAATTGTTTACCATTATCTTAACAATGTTTAGGAATTCTTTCCATATTTTGGATAGTAATCTTTTGTCATCTTTTTATGTGTTGAAAATAGCTTCTGTTTTGGACCTATCTTTTCACTTTCTTGATGAAGTCTTGATAAACAGAACTCAACTTTAATCTAATTTACCTATCTTTACCTGTATGGCTGGTATTGTTTAAGAAATCTTTTCTTGGGCCAGCCCCATGGCTTAGCGGTTAAGTGCACGCGCTCCGCTACTGGCGGCCCTGGTTCAGATCCCGGGCGCGCACCGACGCACCGCTTCTCCAGCCATGCTGAGGCCGCGTCCCACATACAGCAACTAGAAGGATGTGCAACTGTGACACACAACTATCTACTGGGGCTTTGGGGGAAAAAAAGGAGGAGGATTGGCAATAGATGTTAGCTCAGGGCTGGTCTTCCTCAGCAAAAAGAGGAGGATTAGCATGGATGTTAGCTCAGGGCTGATCTTCCTCACAAAAAAAAAAGAAGAAGAAGAAATCTTTTCTTACTCCAAGGTGATGACAAAATTCTCTTATATTTTTTCCTTTAAAGTTTGCCTTTCACAAGGCTTATAATTTATTTGTAAACTCTTAAACCCTTGAGTTTTGGGTATGGTGTGAGGGGCAGATTCAATTTCTCCCCCCTCCACATAAGGTTATGCAATTGTCACAACACCAATATTAAAGACCCCCATCCTTTCCCTCACTGACCTGTAACAGCAAGTCTGTCATCACTCACAATGTAGAGAATTCTCTCTCCCTGGTTCTTCACTTTTATTTGTCTATCCTCGTTTCTATATCACACTGCTTTAATTACTATAGTTTTGATAGCTGTAGATTAATACCCCCAAATTGTCTTTCTTGATGAGTGCTTACATATTCTTGGCCCGTTGCTTTTCTACATAAATTTTGTGTTCTCAATTAAATTTTCTAATTTTCTCCATAAAAGTCAAACACATCATTTTAAAAATAATTTTTTCTAGGTACCTTATTTTTCATGACTATTACAAATGGTAGCTATGATTTAATTACATTTTCAATCTATTGTTGGACTACAGAAATGCAAGTCACTTACATAGACTGATTTTACTCCAGCAGCCTTGCTGAATTCACTTATTAATTATAAAACTTTGTAAATTCTTTTGTACTTTCTTTGCAATCACATCATCTGTGAATGATTTCAGTTTATTTCTCCTTTTTCAAAACTTAGAGCTTTCATTTCTTTTTGTCTTTTTTTTTCTTCTTTTTTGTGTTATTGCCCTAGGACCTAGAATAGGATGTCAAATAGAAGTGGCAATAACAAGCATTCTTGTCACTTTTCTGAATTTGAAAGGAATGCTTTTAACACTTGACCATTAAATATGATATTTGCTTTAGGTTTTTGGTAAATGCTCTTAATCAAGTAGTTTGCTAAGTGTTTTTATAATTAGGAGATATTGAATTCTATCAAATGCTTTTCTCCCTTTAATCTAGTAACGGTAATTGATAGATTTTCTAATGTTGAACTAATCTTGCATTTGATTTTGATGTATCTTCCATTTTTATACACTGCTGTAATTTGTAAGCTAATATTTTCGGGGCGATCTTTTGCTTCTAAGGTCGTGAAAGAAACTGACTTGGAAAGTTGTATAAACAACCCTCATAAATTAAGCTAGGGACTATTTTCTCTTTTTCTATTCTGTAGAAGAAGTTGTATAAGATTGGAATTATCTGTTTCTTGAATTTTTGTTGGAACTCATAAATCTGTTAGAAACTCAGAGACTCTGTAAATTTGTCTGGGCCTGCTGTGTGTGGTCTGTAGGGGGAACAGTGGCAGTTAGGGGGTTGGTAGTGATTCATAACTACTAATTCAACAATTTTAGTGGTTAAGACAGTTCATCATATCTATTTCTTGTTGAGTCTATTTTGTTTACATTTTTCTTAAAATTTTTATGTTTCTAACTTCTTGCCATGAAATAATTTTCTCTTATCTTTTTCGTTGCAGATCTCTCTGTACTTATCTGCCTTTTCTGATCTAATATTGGTCACAGGGCCATTGGCTGGGACTACTCCACAGTGCACCGTTCACACTATGGTCTCCTTGGATTTGTGTTTCTGGAGGCAACATGTAAAGAGAACATGTTGTGAATGGTGCTTCCTGGAGTTGTGCAATGTCACAACCCTATTTGTCTATTTGTGACTTCTTTCTTGATTGATTTTGTCAAAGCTTCGTCAGTTTTATTGACAACTATTGCTTTTGCTGTTTTCTCTATTTTATCTTTCATTTCTATTTTGTTAATATCTGATCATGTTTATCTCCTTCCTTCAACTTTCTTTGGGATTATTCTGTTCAGTTTTTCCCCCCCTTACTTCTTGGATTGTTAACTCATCAATTTTTCAGCCTTTCTTGTTTTTTCATATAAGTTTTTATGACTATAAATTTCTCTCTAAACACTGAGTTAGCTATGTCACACAATTTTTATATGTTGACATAAACATAGTTAATGCAGTAGTTTAAGCCCCTTCCTTCTTCCCTCCTTTCTTCCTTCCTTCCTTTCTTTCTTTCACTATATTCAGTTCTAAGTTTTGAAAATTTTTTAAAATGAGTTTTATGGTCTAACAAGATGAAGTACTGTAATTGTTCCATATGACCTAGAAAAGAATGTGTAACCGTCTTTTTACTTTTCATCTATTGGTACCTTTTTGCCTTTCAAGATGTTTCCACACATGCATTTTATTGTTTTATTCAGTTTGATATTTAAAAAAAGAAAAAGGTTTAGTTCATTTGCATTTATTGTGATTACAGACATTTTGGGGATTTATTTCTGTCATCTTGTTTTGTTTTCTATGTATCCATTATCTTTTCTCTCCTACTTTCTATCTCTATCTTTTCATTTTTCTTTCTGGAAAATTTCTTCAACTTTATCTTTCAACTATTCTCTCAATCTTCATTTCTGCTATTATATATTTAATTTCCAAAAGCATTTTCTCCAAATGTTCCATATTTTTTGGTTCTCTAAACATTAACTGTTTCTTCTGTCACCTCTCTGATCATCTAATGATAGGTTTGTGGTGGTGGTTGTTGAACTTTTCCTCTTCCTGCATTGTATTTCCTCCAAGCTTCTTTGATTTGTTTGGGTTTCTATTACGCTATAAACTTTCCTCAAATAATCATGGGTTATCTGCTTATATTTAAGAATCGCCACTAAAATAGCAATGAGACAGCTCTTCATGCGCTAGTGGAGTTCATCAACTGGTAGATTTCACTATAGGATAATCTGGGGCTTTGCTGAGGTGTTCCTAACTGTCATCATCTGTAGATCTTTCCTTTTGGCTGGCCAGTTTCCCAGAGAATAATTTTCTGAGCTTTTGGCTGTGAGCTTTCTCAAAGTCAAGCAGAGGAAGAAGACCAATGATCCCTTTGATTTGAGTACAGTAATCTACTCTCAGCTGTGCTTGGTATCCCCACAGCCTGGATCATTTCTGTTGGAATGCAGGAAGAAACAGCGTCTTGGCTGCGAGAGATAAGGAAGGGGATCGGGGTTCTAACTGCTTCTTATACAAACTTTCAACTTACTGATTTCAGTCTCAGCAGCACTGCCACTTTCAGAGGCATCTACTATCCCGAATTCCTGAATTTTGGGGGGTGGGGGAAGTAAGTGTAGGAGGGGGATGATGGGGGGATGAATCAGCCGGCTTCTGGGCTTCACCCACTGCCATCTTAGGTTGACACTTTCTGCTTTGCAAAATAATCACTTACCCTTCTGTTTGCAAGCTTCCAAAATTTCACTGGTATCTCCCACTTGCTTTTGTTTCATCTCTCATTCTCTTGTGGGTTTATTCTTTTTTGATCTCTTTATCATTTTATCATCTTTATCATCACTATCACTTTAGTGGAATTTTAGGAAGGAGAGAAGTAAAAGTATGGGTTCGATCCATCATGTTTACATAGAGGTCAATAATATTTTCAAGTATTTTCTCACCTCCATTATTTTTTTCCTGAGGGGATACTGATCCATGCAGAGGAATGTGATAAAGAAAAATAGCACATGAATCTCTTTTCTCCATCTGCTCTGAGCTGCCATTTTCTATCCATAATCCATACCTGGAACTAACCACCTTTTGCCTTCCTGGGATCTCTCAGTTGTTGGTTAATTTCTCACACCCATCAACTTCTTTCTCATTTTTTTTGGAATATCCAAGATTGGTCTGGAGGAAGGAGCCAGCAGCCAGTTAATTTGCCTGTCTTGTCGGGAACCACTCCCTAAGAAACTAAGGTTTTCTAAATTCTAGAACCCTCATCCAATCCTCATATGGAACTTTATGTTTTTCACTGTCAGAATGGCTTACCATTAGCCATATATTGTTGAAATTTTAATTTTATTATATCTCATTTTACCTTGGTTTTGTGTTGCTTTTCTCTTTGTTCGTGTCTTGATTTACTGTGATCAAATCGATGGGTATATATGTCTCCATATTTTTTTTCCCTGAACAAAACTATGAAGTAATGGGCTGTAAAAAATACATTCACATTATTTTTTTAAATATAAAAGATGATTTCACAGCTATGACTATTGGTACCCAAAACTGCATATATATTTCCCAACATCTCACTAAGCTTAATTTAATATCCCGATTACCTTCAAGTGTTTCTTATATATAGTGTAATTTCTAGACCCTTCACTATGTTACTTATCCTTCTCAGGGCAGTCTCTATATTGTCTAACTTCCTCTCTCAGACAATTTTTTACTTCTCACGTTGATGGGTTTATGTACATATAATTTTAACTTACCTGAAATTCCATACTAAAGATAATGATATGTTTTAAAATCATCTCCTCAGGGAAAATTATCAAGAAGAACTTAAGGAAGTCAACAGAACTGGTAGCATGAGCGGTTGAACTCCTTTCCCCATTCAGTAGGTACTAAAAGGCCACATCCATATACTCCCAGCATTCCTCAGATAGAACAGAACAAAAGGGAGCGTGTTTTGAAATATGTAAAAGAGAGGGTCTCCTTTTTCTAAGATTTCTAAAATCTAACAAGATACAGAGAGCCTCCAAATAAAGATGTGATATGCTGCATGGAAGAAGTATCCTCCAATTAAAGAATTTAAGCCAAGATGCCAGCCTATAATCAGTGTAGGATAGAAAAAGCTCTCGCTGGCAAGTCAATAAGCTTCAGACAAATCAAATAAGACAGACCAAAATAGGCCAGGGGCAAGAGTAGTTCTTAGTGGAATAGAAATGATAGAAATCTCTACACCAGATATGAAGCTCACAACTACAATATCAATGTAGGATGGTCTACCTAGTGATGAGACTCAGGGTCCAGAACCAATCAGGACCCAATACCAGGAATGGCCACAGAAGGATCATTCACTGCAGCCAAAAACTGAAGGATACAACTTTAGGGCCCAGCCTTGAGATAAGATGAAGAAACAGATCATAAGGGAGATTCCCACTAGATTCGAAAGCATGCCTGAATCAAATCCATTCTGGACTTGCAATAGCATAGAGATCAGCAGAATTTTTCTGAAAAAAGGCCAAAGAGTAAATATTTTGGGCTTACGGGCCAGAAGGCAAAATCGAAGATGTTACATAGGTATTCATATAACAAAAGAAAAAACAAATTTCTACAAATGTTTTATTGATGAAATTCAATATATGATAATAATTGAGTATATATTTTTTTAATATAGGACTATTAATGAGAAAAACAGAATTCTTTTGAGAGGGATAATATGTCATTTAATTGGGATTCAAAGTTCGTGTTACCTATCATCAAACTGGTTGTGATTGTTCCTTTGTAAAAACCATTCTCAGCTTGTGGACCATAAAGAAACAGGTGGCAGGCTGGATTTGACCGACAGCGCATCATTTGCCAGCCCCTACAATAGAGTATATGTTAATGCCAAATCTGCTTTAACTTTGGAGTGGCTCATATTTTCCTGCTACCATCATTACCATCAAACATCAATTGACATAAGAAAAGTTGTGCAATATCACTATTAATCAAACAGTGTAAAAAATCAAAAGTTATTCTTTTTTCCTATCAGGCAAGTGAAAAATATCTAATCTCACACTTCTCCACAGCAACATTCAAATGCCAGAACATTTCCTCAGAGAAAAAAGAGTGGCTTAAGAATTTTATATAGAGCCGAGTTTTCATGTAAGTATGAAGATAACAAACATTTCAAACATGCAAAGTTCAGGAAAGATATCACCCATGAGCCCTTCCTGTAAAAAGTACACAATAATAAATCCCATTAATACAGAGAAGAAGACAAAAAACATGGTAATAAAGAAAATAATAGTAAGAGCATTAAAGTCATTTAAATACAGAATTAAATCAAAACAACTATGAGACTTATGATTACAGAACAGAACCTTGATAGTATAGAAATAATAGCATAAGTACTAAAACATATCAAGATGGAGAGAAGAGAAGGTAAATGGAATGTAGGGAGCATAAGTGCTATGATTTCCTCATCTTTCAGATACAGAGGTCAGCAGACACTATTTAAAGCTGGTAAATAAAATAACAGAAATTTAACTATATTATTAAAAAGTATAAAGGGACCCATAAAAAGAACTAAATATAATATAAACAATGAAAATTTGGGAGTACGAGGCATCAGATAAAATGTAAATGCATGAATTGGGTTCTAATTTCTTCATTTCGCAATGTGGAGTCCATAGATGTTATCTAAAAATGCATAGATTGCAAAATAAAGGTTGAAATATAATGTGTTGTTATAAGTCTAGAACTACTAAAATAATGCATGAACCTTCCAAAGTATCCGAAGTGAAACATAACTACATGTTTACACAAAAGAGGGATTTAAAACATCAAAAAAAAGTTGAAATCAAGTATAGCTATGGTTGACTTTAGTAGGTTGCCTATGCAGCACTCATTCCCTCCTTTCCCAAACATTATCCTAATTTTTATTCAGGTAGATCTGAATACATTATCAAGAAAAAAAGGAACAGAGGTGGAAAAAATGAAAGACAAGTTAACTAGTATAGAGGACAGAATGATAAATCTGACATAAAACAAACCAGGAGTCTGGAATAAGAGAGAAAATGGGAAATATAACAACTGAGAGTTTTCCAGACACCCAGACACCAATCTGTAGTTTCATAGACTCCAACAAATTCTAAGCAGGATGAACATATATATATAAGTATACACGGGCAAGTGTACACACATATACACATACATCTCTCCAATATAGTGAACCTGCAGAGTGCCAAAAATAAAGAGAAGTTCACAACAGTAGCCAGAGATAGATTTCTTAAAATGGAAAACAATGAGGCTAAGAATGGACTTCTTGAGCAAAAAAAAAAAAAAAAAAAAAAATCTAAATTGAAAACAATGGTATAATATCTCCAATGTGCTATGGAAAATAACCACCAACTTAGAATTCTATACCTGGCAAAAATATGTTTCAAAAATGAAGGCGAGTGGTCTGGCCTGGTGGCATAGCGGTTAAGTTTGCATGCTCTGCTTTGGCGGCCCAGGGTACTCTGGTTCAGATCCTGGGTGCAGACCTACTCAGTGCTCATCAAGCCATAGTGAGTTAGCGTCCCACATAGAAGAGCTACAACTCTACAACTGTGATACACAACTATGTACTGGGGCTTTGGGGAGAAAAAAGAAAAAGAGGAAGATGGCAACAGATGTTAGCACAGGGCCAATCTGCCTCAAAAAAAAAATGAAGGCAAAATAAAGACATTTTCAGGCAAATAAAAATCAACAACACTCATAAAAAGTATTCTAAAGGGCTTCAAAAGGAAGGAATATGATCCCAGGATGAGAACTCTAAGATGCAAGAAATAATTACCAGCAAAAGAAGTAATGAATATGTGGATAAATCTAAACAAACATTGTGCAAAATAGTAATTATTTCTTTTGGGATTAAAAGTGAGATAGAACTAAAATACACAACAATAATAGTATAGAGGTCTGGAGGGGATGATCAAAATTAAATTGTTTTAAGATCCGTGTATTTTCTGGAAGAAAATTAAAATTGATTTAATTTACACTTTTTGGTAAATTAAGTGTACATCTTAAAATTTCTACTGTAACCACAAAATAAAGTGGCAGAAATAAATATAAATGTATTAATAATTACTGTCCCCCCCACACACAAAAATGAAGAGTGGAATGGATGTTAGCTCAGGGCTAATCTTCCTCAGCAAAAAAAAAAAAAAAAAGAAAAAGAAAAGAAAAAATTAAATCTTGTGAGATGCATCTAAAGAGGTACATAGAGGTAAATGTAAAGCCTTAAATGTTTATACTAGAATAGAAGAAAGACTTATTATCTAAATTAAACATCTCAATTAAAAAGTTAGGAAACACAAAACTTTATAAATCCAAAGAAAGTAGAAAGAAGGAAATAATAAAGATTAGAGCAGGCCTCTGGACGTCAGCAAAATGGCAGAGTAGAAAATACCAGCCTTTGCCACCCACAAGAAACAACAAATAGACAGCTATCCACGAATGAAAATAGACCTGGGAGGGCTCAAGAGTATTAAGAACCTACAGCAACACACAGGAGGAAAAAAAAGAGAATAACTACACACATACAAAAAAATCCCTGGGGAGACTGGCCTAGCTGAGACATCTGGAGATGGCTAAGAACAAAGTATAAGAGGGTGGGCTATCAGTATCAGTCATGTAGCAGGTGCCATCACAGTCCCCAGTGGGATGCTCTGCAGAGGACCCTGACTACATTTGCTGCAGAGAATCTCAGCAGCCCCTGCAACAGCTGTGGACTCCCCACAGCTCTCACAGTGGAGGATCTGGTAGTGTTTGTTGGTATAGACCCCAGCAGCCTGTTCTGCAAAGGACATCTGCAGCATTAGCCATTGACAGCCATTGCTGCCATGGAACCCCCAGAGAGGGAGACACTGCTGCACCCTTCCTTCCAGAAGGAACTGCTGCTGCACTGCAAGAGGACCAATGCTGCCACCCTCTAGCCTTTCACATGCCCTTGATCCCAGAGCACCAGCTGCTCCACATTTGCCCACCTTTCAGACCCTGTCTCTGCAGCTGCTTGCATGTGACCACACTCCTAACCCCAGCTCCATGGCTGCTCTGAAAGCATCTGCATCTCAGGCACCAGAGCCACCACTGCTGTGGGCTAACTAGCTACTCAGACCCCAGAGCTTCTGTTATTCCAAAACTGCCCACACATCAGACACCAGTGCCACCACCACTACAAGAGCATCCAAGAGCCAGATCCTGTGTCAAGAGGGATGCCCTTAGCCATGACATCCCCCATGGGAGAAAAAAAGATCAGGAGGTCTCCAGCAGACTTCATCACCAAAGACCCCAATGGTCCTCACCACCACTGCAAACCCGCACTGCCTTGGCCGCTAAGAACCCCTGGGATCTATGCCAACACTGACCTCAGTGATGGAGCTACAAGGAGACTATGGTATGGGGCCTTCCCTGGAGCCAGAACTGCT